CATGCCCAAATTATTCCATCTTTGGCCAACTGGGACCCCTTTGTGTTGGCTCCTGTTAGTCATTAATAGCTTGCTTTCTAGCCTAACAAATTCCAGGGAGAAATGGTCAGTAGCAGAGTAATAAAACTGTCTATAATATATGTTGAAATTTTAGCAAAACAAAAAGCAAGCAACCAGATACAGCCATATGAATCTAAGAAAAAATTAATAAGAAATATCCAAATGGTTAAATATTTTTGTTGCTAGTACTACAATATTATAGGAAAATACTATCTCTTTATTTTTTTCTTTAGCGCTTTGCACTTTTCTGCACTCCAGATTTTCCACAATGAGAATTATTACTTTTACAATAAAAAGATTAAGTTAAAATTTTAACAACCCCAACAGATTTTCTTTACTAATAAGTTCTTCTACTGCATTTAAAATAAAATTGAAATTATTTTAAAAGATATGCGCATCTTTTTCAGAACTGTAAATGGAGTAATTATACCCCATATTTTTAAAGAGCTGTAATGTATGCAAAGAGGAAAAAATAGATAAACAATTTTTAAATATTCTCTTTGACCCCCTCCACCCACACCCACCCCCCTGTACCAATACCCCCCCAAGCCTTCATACTATGGTCTGTGCCCCTGGGTTATGCATCTAGGCAGATAAGTTCTTTGGTTAATCTCTCCCCACCCACCCACCTGCCTCCGCTTCCCTCTGAGATCCATTAGTCTGTTCTATGCTTCTGTGTCTCTGGATCTATTTTGTTCATCAATTTATTTTGTCCATTTGATTCCACATATGAGTGGTGCCTGGTTTTCCCATCTGTCTTTATAGACCTTACATTTTTTCGCTTTAACAACAGTTTGGAAACAGGGAGTAGGTATATCTCTTGCCACATTCTAGTTAGACCTCAACTTCTGGGGGTTCCTGGATCTGGGAATATTCTTTCTATTATTCTCAGTCCTGCATATTGACAGGTTCAAAGCAAATAAACAAGGACAACAACAGCAAAATAACTTATCCCTTAATATCAATCAGGGAAGACATGTAAATGTGTCTCCTTCACTGTAGATAGTGGTCCTTTAGGTGTGGCCTTGGTGAGGCTCACTTTTACCTGAGTTTCACCAGTGGCCCTTGTAAGTGGGATTTTAAATGATGACCCCATGAAAAAAAATCATCCTGTATTTTTATTTTTATTTATTTTTTAATATATTTTATTGATTTTTTACAGAGAGGAAGGGAGAGGGATAGAGAGCCAAAAATATTGACGAGAGAGAAACATCGACCAGCTGCCTCCTGCACACCCCCCACTGGGGACGCGCCCACAACCAATGTATATGCCCTTGACCAGAATCGAATCTGGGACCTCTCAGTCCGCAAATCGACGGTCTATCCACTGAGCCAAACCAGTTTCGGCTCATCCTATATTTTTAAATGTATCACACATTGTGTAAAGTGTGGAACGTGGTTCGGGTGTGTGTGTGTGTGTGTGTGTGTGTGTATGTGTGTGTGTGTGTGTTGTGGATTTATTCTTACCATGAATAACAGAGAAAGAAGTGTAAAAACTCAGCCATGTAAGAGCTGGTGTGTGAGTGGATGTGTGCACACGTGCCTCTATGTGTATAAAAAAAACAAAAAAGCTTCTCCCTCTCCAATGCAGACAGCCTTCTACACCCTCTTCCTCAAGTCTTTGTGCCAAAACCAGACTAAAATGCTCGTGCTTTTCTCTGGCATTCTTCTGGAAATGTGGAACAACTCACACTCTGGGGGTAGATCATTCTGGATTTCTGCCATTTCCTGCCCAGAGACAGTTGCCTCGTGGAATCCTGGTAGAACTACTTTTCACTGATAAATTCTTTACACAAACCTATCATTATAAATGCCGTGTTTCTAAATCTCTGGATTCTACAGGACAAATTCAGGAACCAAGGTAGCAGCAAGAAACAAGGCAAGGGCAAAGGGTTTATCCCAAGCCGGTTCAAGAAATAAATCTCTTCAATATGTGCTTGATCCACATGCAGCTTGGCTCATGGTAGATTAGGCCTGAGCAGCCAGAGAACATCAACTTGTCTCCACTATTCTTGGCATACTTAGACTTTTGGAAAGGACAATTATCTTTATCTGGACTGGTGATCAGCCTCCAACTGTGACCAGGAAGATAAAAAAAGAGTAGGAGGAAGAAGAGGGAAAGGGGAGAGTGGAAAGGGAGCCTTAGACATGACGTTGAAAAAAATCACCACTCCTTCAGTGCTGCGTGGAGGAAAATACCGCAGGTGTCACTGGTGATGAGATAGCCCACCCGTATGGGAAGTTCTGTTGTCCTGGCTTTGGCCTTTCTTTGCATAATTTGAAGTGTGCTCTCCGTGGTAGGAAAATGTATGGCCCTGCCCTTTGCAAAGCCAGATTCCTTTGTTAGTGTTGGTCCCACTACACAAAACAGGCAAATGTCCCAGCTTCTCTGACTCACAGATTTTCATGGCTATGGATGTGCCCGGCCCTCTCAGCCCTGCCTTATCCAGCCTCAGTTCCCCAGCCCCCTCAGCTCCATAGGGGAAGGCAGTTGGGGACAATCATGCTGACAGGGGAGTAGTTAGGTGTCAGTCAGGTCAGCAGGGGAACAGTTAGGGGGCTATCTAGATGGCAGGCAGAGTGGTTAGGAGCAATCATGCAGGCAGGCGAGTGGTTAGGAGCCAGCAGTCCAAGATTGTAAGAGGGATCCCAGATTAGAGAGGGTGCAGGCTGGGCTTAGGGACATCATTCCCCTGCACAAATTTTGTGCATTGGGCCTCTAGTTTTTAATAAGACCTAAGCACTTAATCCTTGACATTACCAGCACTGAAGACATGGTGTGAACATACTCTTATTTCACTTTAACAAGAATAATAGAACCAAACAGAACACATATGCTTTCTGTTTATTTGAAGCATACTTTGATAGTTTCTCAATACCAGCAATTGCTTAATAGTGTCACTTGGAGTCTAAGATTTTTCTGAGAAAAAATTACATTTTAGGGTAAAATATCTGAAGCATGGATTTGTATTTATTTGGGCCATCTCTCTTTCTAAAGAAGTATTTTATGGAACTGACTCATAAAGAAATGGCTTTCAAGGCAGTGGGTAATTTTGAATGAGTAGGCCTCATTTCTTTGGGTTTATCTTCTTTTGGAGAAGACTCAAGGAGAGACTCTCCTGAGGCGATGTGCAGACCTGTTGAGCCTTGTCAAAAGCGCTGGAATCAGTATTAGTAATGGCTTTGCACCTTCAGAGAAGGAGTTCAGATTTCTTCGGGGTGAAACACGGGACCTTCAAATGGAAGAGAGAGGCAGGGACAATAATCCATGAAATAGCTGAGCAGTAGCAGCCAAGAGGGGTTCTCATCACTCTGTAATCCAGGAGTTCAGGAAGAACACAGCACATTGCAAAGAGCAGCAAAGGCAGGAGGCACGGACAATGCTCCAAGCACCATTCACTTCCAGAAGTGGACTATTGAGGTCCTATGTACACTGTGACCAAAAGTGTTTTTTAAAAAAAGGATATTAGGAGAAATAAATCATTTTACTAGTACCAAGTTCACTTATTCCAGGAACTAGGCTATTTCATAATAAAAACTTAAATGAAGGCCAAAAATGAAGCAATGGCAGCTCTCTTTGGATTCTAAATTCAGGCCATCGGTATATTTTATTCAGGCTTAGTTCTATTTCTGTCTTTAGTCAAGCTATGGAGTTTTATGATAGATTTTCATAGATGGCAAATTATTTTTAGTTCCTTTAATATTCATAAAAATGTAATACTTCTAAAAGTTGTACTGTCTTTTTTTCTTTTTCTTTTCTAACTAGTTACTAAGGTAACTCTGGCATCAAAATATGTTTGTATAACAAAGATATACTTAGTAATGAAAATGACCACTGATTGATTAGTTTGAGTGGACATACTTTTAAGTAATATTGAGTTGCATTAAATTCCCATAAAGTTCTCCTCATCCAAGTATATATGAATTAGCCAACCATCATAAATATTTAATAAGTGTGGAAAGCACTTATAGGAGTCAGCAGCACAACTTTCCTGTTTGCTGAATAAGCGTCTACACACGTCACTTCCCATCATGCATATTAATTTATAATAATAACAGTGGTAATAATCTGTAACTTGAAAATTAAGAGAACTGTTTTGAGCATCAAAATTCGTTTTACCTATTTACCCCAGACAACAAGATACTAACCAATATACTTTTGGGTGTAAATAATAATAAAACAGGACCACTTCTCTCTGCTTCCTAGAACTCACAATGCCGGCTCTCTTTATCTCTCATCCTGTTAACCAAATGATGGGCCAAGTTAGTGATCAAAAACTGGGTGTGGTCAGTAATAGTTAAGTCACTTTTTTTCCTAATACAGACAACTCTGAAGTGTTCCCATTAATGATTCAGGTTGCTCTGCTGAATTTTTACTAACCCCATCAAAAATCCATGGCCGTTTAGGACCCAAACGTAGATTACCTAATGTGTTAAAAAGAGACAAACCTTTAGGTTTTGAGAGCATGAATGTTACAGAAATATTTGTGATCCAAAAAGCTTATAAGGTATTGCCTTAAAATGTGTTTTTTGATCATTGATATTTTTTATTTATTTTATTTATCTTTATTGTTGAAAGTATTACAAATGTCCAATTCCCCATTGACCCCTTCCATCCCACACCCATCTCCTCCTAAGGCCTTTATTACACTATTGTCTGTGTCCATGGGTTATGGATATATGCATGTAAGTTTTTTGGTTTGATCATTGATATTTTCTCTGTTAAAATGATTGACCAAAATATGAAAAACAAAAGGAGAATCATTTACAGGTGTTAGCCTGGGGCTTGATAAGCAGTGTGTGTGTGTGTGTGTGTGTGTGTGTGTGTCTGTGTGTACACGCGTGCATGAGCGCATATGTGCATGGCCCACTGTATGTTTCTCTCGGCTATCATTGGTTTCCTCCTCCTCACTGAACACTTCGTGGTTCCTGTCTTCCAGATGACACTGGCTGTCCTAGTAGCCAGTCTGTGTCTCCTGTGAAGACGCCCTCGGATACTGGAAACAGTCCTGTTGGCTTTCACCCTGGAAGTGATGAAGACTTTACCAGGAAGAAATGCACAGTTGGAATGGTTGGTGAGGGAAGCATCCAGTCAGCTCGATATAAGAAGGAACCCAAGTCAGGCCTTGTGAAGCCAGGTAAATGCGCTTATACATATGTTGTGATCAGCGTAGTATGACTGTGGTGATTTCACACTTGAAACGAAACACCTGTATGTCAAGACAGGGAACACTAATGCTGCACCTAGAATCCAGAAACATCTGTTTTCAAAAAGGATGTGGGACCAAGAGTGGAATATTTTTCTACACTAGTTGTTAAAAATTGAGACATTATAGTGATATGAGCACATTATAAAGACATAGAAGATGGAGCAACGTTGAAGAAATGTAAACTGGATTATCTAGTAGACATTTAAACGCTATAATTAATCCCAACATAAATTATATTAAAAAGTTACCATCTAAAGTGACCACAAATTATGAAAAAAAAAAAAAAAGAGGTTAGCTTGATGCAGAACTTTAGGGCTGAGCATACTTGCAAACCTGGTTATTTTATTTGTTTTTGAAGATAGAAATATGACTATGATATTATATGTACCAATTGTACCGGTTATTAATGTGGATTTTCCAATCAAAGAAAACATGATAATTTCAAAAGAAACATCAGAAGTGCTTTATTTAAAGTATTGTCTATCGCTAGCTACACATTTCCCCCATCTTTCAGGTAACTTGCAGATACTGTCCCAATAGAATTTTCTTGTTTTGAGGCAAACCATTCAGAGGCCCAATTTTCCACTTTTTCGTACATTTTGAAGTGCTGCTCAGAAAGTGCGACTGCCATTGATCAGAATAAGTGGTAATCTGAAGGAGCAAGGTCTGGTGAATACGGTGGGTGGGTTAATACTTCCCAGGCAGGATCTTTTAACCTGTCTTTCACTAGTTTTGAAGTATGTGATGGTGCATCATCATGAAGCAAAAGTACTTTGCCATGTCTTCTGGCCCATTCTGGTTGTGTTATGATCAAAGTGTGGTTCTAATTGATGATGTGTTGTCGGTAGCAATCAGTATTAACAGTTTCACTGGTTTTAGAAGCTCAAAATACACCACACCTTCCTGATCCCACCAAATGCAGAGCATTGTCTTTCCGGAGCGACTTGCCTTTGTAGTTCATATTGATGGTAGACCTGGATCAATTCATGATTTTATGAGTCTGGGAGTCTCAAAATAAATCCACTTTTTATTGCCAGTCACTATTCCATGCAAAAAGAACCTTCTTTCATGCCATGAAAGCAATATTTTACTGATGACTTTTCGGTTTTCCATTTGTCTCTCATTCAGTTGATGTGGCACCCGTTTTCCTTCCTTTAAAATCTTTTCCATTGCTTGTAAATGATCAGAAATTGTTTGCTGAGCAACGTTTACTCTTTCTGCAAGTTGTTTTTGAGTTTGACACGCATCTTCATCCAATAATGCTTGTAATTTTTGGTCTTCAAACTTTTCCGGTTGTCTTTGGCATTCTTTGTCTTTCCCATCTAAATCATCACTTTTAAAGCATTTAAACCAGTGTTCACAAGAATCTTGAGATGGAGCATATTTACCATAAGCTTCCCAAAGTATACAATAACGTTTAGCAACACTTTTCTTCAAAATAAAGTAATGAATTAAAACTTCCCACAAATGCTCTTTTTTTGGCCATAAATTCCACATTTTTAAGCATAAAAATATCTATGATGTTAACACTTTCAGAAAATTTGACATATGAAGTTTTGAAGCTTGTTGTCAATACAACAAAATAGCATATATATCAAATCACATATATATCAACATATATGTAGTTCCATCTATTGAAAAAAAGATTCGCATTAACCAATATTCCTGGTATGTGTGTGCTTTTGTGTGTGTGTGTGTGTGTGTGTGTGTGGGTATATATATATATATGCATATATATGTATTCAAGGATTACAAAATACTAAAACTATTCAATGAAATAGAGATCATTATTGTATTGGATGAAATGCCATGAATATTAGAAAAGGTCAATTTTCAGAATTTGCAATATATAAATAAATATTTTATATCTCAGAAATATATAAAGTAAATGAGCAAATAGTTTTAGTAGAACTGAATTTCTAACCTTACAGTAAAAAGACATGAGCACTGGCATTGTGAGACAACTTCTATATCGCATTATTTTCTTTAACACTCACAGTTATCCTATGCATATTTATGAACCTGAAAAGACAGATTAGTAGCCTGCATGGGTCCTCATTCCTTACATTTGTCTTCTAACTTTTGTCTGTGATGACGTTACTGTACAGAGAGCTACAGACAGCTTTATTTCAATGCAGGCAAAGCTTGGCAGGTGTCCTTTTCCATTGGGAAGGCTGGCATCCTCTTCCATCTCTGTCAACTTTTGTTCCTCCTGAATAATTGATGTGCGCAGCACATCTTAATGGACTATTCTTCATCTTGCACTTAGTCAACCAAAGAGAGTGTCATTTAATCTCAGAGCAAAACTTAAACTGTGTGGAAAAGAAGTCCCCTCTTTCCTGGGCTCCTGATAAATGACAGTCATGATGAATTTGTTAATAATCGATTGCTTTGGAATCATATCAAAAAAGAAAAGGAATGATTCGCAGTGGGGAAGACAGCATATGAAAAAAGGAAGATGGATATGGTAAAAAGGGAGGTGGGCATCCTCAATCCTTGGGACAGAGGCAGTGAGGTGAAGCATGTCATGTAATTATGGACAAGAAATAAAACCGTTACCTTGTGTACTGTGTGGGAGCGAAAACAATTTTTCTTCTACTTTTCTACGCCCTTCTGGCTGGTCTGATAATCAGATTGACATGAGACAGATTAACAGGAGAAAATAACCAATCGTATTAACGAATGTACAAACGGTCGTTTCTTAAGCATATGGACCTCCTGGACAAAGCAGGCAGTTGAGGCTTTTGTGCACTTCCGGACAAAGAAGAGGGCTTCAAAGGGGAAGTGAGCAATTCACAGGTGTACGAAAAGGAGCAAATATTTGTTAAACAAATTCTTGCCAGGTCACCCAGAAACAATGGGACACAGATGGGAGTCTAACAAACAGACTTTGCAACTTTCTCCCTGTCTGCCACACTCAGTTTATATCATACCAAGGTGATAGCTTCCTGAAAAAGCAGATTTTTCCTTGCAGATTTCTTTTGGCAGGTGAGTGAGTGACAAAGTAAAAAGGCTCTTCTTGACTCTTTTGGTTCTTAAAAATAACCAGCTTAAAAATAATTTCCCCAAAAGGCATATTTGGGGTGGCAAAATTTGACTTCCCCTCAGGACCCAAGACAAGACCTGCCTCCCTCCCTCCCCCAGCTCAGTTGTCCTCTTAATATTGACATATAATTCACATGCTATAAAATCCACACCTTGGAAGTGCACAATCCAGTGGGTTTTAGCCTATTCAAAACGTGGTGAAACATCACCACCAATTCCTGAACATTTGTATCACCCCCAAAAGAAACCCTGTTCCCAGGAGCAGTCGCTTGCACACTCTCCCTCCCCCGGCCCCTGGCAACCACGTACCTAGTTTCTGTCTATGGGTCAGCCTGTTTAGGCGGCACATGTAAAGGGAGTCACACAATATGCGGCTTTTGGTGTTTGGCTTCTTTCGTTTAGGATAACGTTTTCAAGGTTCATCCATCTAGCATGTATTCGGATCAATGACATTCTACAATATTATGTTGATAACCCACATTATCTAAATAGACTTTTTTTTAAAGGAAATTTAAGTTTATAGAAAAACTGAGTGGAGAATACAGAGTCCCCAGGCACCCTCTCACCAGTAAGCACTACCTCAGTTTCCCCGGTTACTCATCTCCTGCCTTGGTGCTGTGATATACAGCATCTTCTTTCTCCATTCACAGTCGATGGACATCTGGATTGATTCTGCTTTGTGTCTATTAGAAATAATGTGTTATGAACATTCACGTCTGGGTTTTTGTATGGACATGAGTTTATTTCTCGTGGATATATAGCGAGGAGTAACATTGTTGACACATGTGGTAACTCTATGTTTAACTCTTTGAGGAATTGCCAAACTGTTTTTTCAAAATGGCTGCACCATTTTACATCCCCGCCAGCAATGTCTGAGGGCTCTGATTTCTCCACATCCATCCTTGTTGACAGTTGTTATTTATTTATTTATTTTTAAAAATATATTTTATTGATTTTTTACAGAGAGGAAGGGAGAGAGATAGAGAGCTAGAAACATCGATGAGTGAGAAACATCGACCAGCTGCCTTTTGCACACCCCCTACTGGGGATGTGCCCGCAACCAATGCAAATGCCCTTGACCGGAATCGAACCTGGGACCTTTCAGTCCGCAGACCGACGCTCTACCACTGAGCCAAACCGGCTTCGGCTGACAGTTGTTATTGCCTACCTTTTTTTATTATAGCCATTCCAGTGAATGTCAATGGGTATTTCATTGTGCTTTTCAATTTACATTTCCCTGATGGAGAATAGTGATGAGTGTCTTTTCATGAACACAGGATGTAAGTTTAAGAGGAGGAGTCCTGAAATCCTCTTTTGGTTCTCCTAGTACACGGGGTCGGTATATATTGGGGGCTTGGTCAACATTTGTTGACCTTGGCAGCAAAGATGGACTCTGGGTTTGAGAAGATAAAATGATGCTGGAAAGAATGTCAGCTTCGTTGTTTGCACAGAAAAGGTAGATTTCATTGTGAGAGTTACATAGGATTGGAATGCAACCTGAAATCATTTCATTTTTTGCTCTCCACCCCAAACTATCTACCAAAATATCCACTGCTCATTCTAAAATCATTTCACAGTGGTTAACAACGGTACAAAGAAACAGTGAAACACGAGACAAGTGTGGTGCAGAAAGAACAAACTAAGTTTAAATGGGAGTTAAGATTTTCATTGACCTTCCTTGTTTTAATGATTATAATAAAGAATAATCATATTAACATAAGACTTCAAACTCTACGTGTGCACACAAAATCCACTCCTAGCAAGTAGGTAAGTGAGTGACTTGATAAGAATCCTGCAGAAGGTATTATAAGTGACTTGATAAGGATCAGCCATTTGACTTGCTGAGAATGTTTAATGCCTTAGGTCTTTATGAAGAAAATGCA